AATTAAACTGACAGTCAACGTCCTCCCCTCTTCGTCTCCCCTCTGTAGTTAATGTGTATTTTAAATGTTCACCACATCCTTAAGCAAACACAATTAATAAGAGCAGATTAGCGCCGCTTGAATCGAGGATGTTTGATTTCACAGCGAGCGCAGTCTTCCTAACCCCAGGAGTGTAGAATGAGCTGTCCTAATCCTCCTTCGCCACTGCGTCCATCCAGCCGCACGCACCCGAGCTTGCATGTCACTGCAGTCACATTAAGACAGAACATGTAATGTGCTGATCTCCCAGCATTTTCAGGATGACTAATATCAACAAGCGATGCTAAAATAATCCCTCCTGCCCACACAGTTTCCAGCAAGCTGATACTTATAATAATGACACAAGCTGAGACTTACCACAAGGCGCGGGGACGCTAATTAATGGACTCATGACTGAACTGTTACATATCAACGATTTATGGAAAGTCTTATTTTAATTACCATAACATATAAGGCAAGGGAATCATCCGTGTCTATAAACTGAAGTCCTGTAAATGAAAATGTTATTCAAAGACATTTAAACAAAAATGTGTCTTTTGTCAGACTCGTGAACCCAGTTAACAGCAGGTTCGATCTCTGACTTTTCCTCTGAGAGGCTCGCCGGGTCCATGGCTATGAGCACATGTGACACAGCTAAACCACCCAAGAGGAATATGGGAAATCCTCCCCAGAGCAACACAACAAGTGATACACTGTGCAGCATACAGTCATCTGCATCACATCTACTCATCTTTACGGCCACGCAGAGGGTCAGCTGAGACGTTGTAGTAAAGCATGATGGGATTCAGCGTGACACCAGTAGAAGGACAAGGCTATGGTTATCCAGCCTTCAGATCAGGCAGCATGAGTTGCAGTAGTAATTTTAATGCATCATACTTTTACTCTTCCTTGAGTAGATTTTTAGTTAAAAATCCTTACTTTTACTCCACTACATCTGGATACATTCATTGTGCTTTTCATGTGGATGTGACTGATATGTTTAAACCACAGATGATCTTCCTCAGGTAAAGTGAAGAAGTGAACACTCCTCTATTTAATGGGCAATAAATTATGAAACATCACTGCATTATTTCCTACATTGATTTGTTTGCCAAATCATAATTTCTAAAAGGAGACAACAAGAAAGAGGTATATTTATTTAAACAATCTTTACTTAGTGGCGTACTTACTAACATACTATAATATTAATGTAGTATGTTGTAATCACACTTGATGGATACACACTGGGAATATTGTCCTGGTGTTAATGTGGCAGGTTATCTAATCAGGAAATTATGACTTGTCATTTCATCACAAATAAATACAGGTGTATGTTCACTTCTTTACCTTTATCTGAGGATGACCATCAGTAACTGAAATAACTCCAGTCACATTCACATCAAATGAAAGACTTGGGGAAAATGACCCAGTGTTTTTTTGTATTTTCAATTCAGTTACTCGCTATTCAAGTATTTTTTTCAGTAAATACTTTTATACTCTTACTCAGGTGGCTATTGATTGATGATCTCTTTAATGACTTCTTGAGTACTTGTTTTTGCAAAGTAACAGTACTTTTACTTGAGTACAGTTTTTGGCTACTCTACCCACTTCTGATTGTTACTCTTATCTGCAATAATTTCTAAATATGCATAATGTACATACAAGTCAACAGTCTAAGAAACTGAAATTAAAAAATAATAATACACCACTGGAACTAAATCTGCCAAACCTGTGTGGGGTCACAATTAACCGTTTGGTCTAAAAAATGTCTGAAAATCTTGAATAAATATTACTAAGGTACCACACTCCAAGATGTCTTCAAATGTCTTGTTTTGTCTAAAACCCAAAGATTTTGATTTACAATCATCTAAAACAGAAAGAAGCAACAGATCCTGAAGTGAACCAGAGAATGAAATGTTTCATTTTTGCTTGAAAATTTACATAATTGATTAATCTATACTATCAAATTTATTGCCAAGTAAAATTCTGTAGATCGACTAATCAGTTGGTTGACAAGTTGTTTGAGCTCTAATTTTCTGACTAATAAAATAATTAAATGAAATGAAAAAGTATACAAATACCAAAGCAGAGAGCTAATGGCCTTAATAACCTAAATGCCACAAAATAACAAACTGGTTATGGTTAAATGTTTAACATTAGCTCTGAGAGATTAGAAATATGAAAAATAGTCTTTTTATATTAATGATACTGAAAATTGCAACTGTGAAATGGGGTCATGTGCCACTGACAACAAGGACCAACAAACTCTGCAACATGACCCCTCAAAGTGTGAATCACCATCTCATTTTAAACATCATGATGTCCCTTCAGTCACTGAACCTCTGAAGACTTACATATAGCCAAGTATGAAAATCTGTCAGGAACTGTTAGTTAGCTCATTATATTATCTTAATTCATAATTTTGTTCATTTATACTGTTTTATGTAGGCAGTGTTCTTAAAGGCTGTCTGTGTTAGGTTAATGTCAAATTTTAACAAAGAATATGCAAAAGAAACATATTATGAGCAAAGGAACGTATTTAACAGTATCATGTTGGTACTGGTGCTGGCACTCAGTAGTCTATGTGTCCCAGGCTAAAAATCTCATGTCTCGTGTATGCTCTCGTCTATATGTGCCACCTGTACATTTGTTTTGTACATCCAGCGAGTTGTTGCTCACGTTGTGTTTTTGCTGATTTGTTTTTTGCTGCACTGCTTATCGTTTCTTTGTGTTCTGACATATATTAGAGGTTTCTGTATTGTCTAGATTTGTTACCTGTAAGCCATATAACTGTCCTCAATGTTATGAATAAACCCTACTGTAAATTATCCTCTGGGTGCCTGACATGTTGTCATCTCTGCTCCTTTCACAACAGGAATAACTCAAGCCACTGAGAAAATTGGAAACATAGCCAGAAATGAGCAAACTGACAGGGAAATATATTTCATAGCTAACTGCTGATGTGAAGAGTTTAATGTTGATGTGAAGCCCTTAACTCTGAAATAAGATATGTACTGCACTTGAGAACGTGTGACACACATGCCTGAGAAAATAATTAAAGGCAAAACATATCCGAGGGCTTGACTGCCCTTTTTACGCGCCTAAAGAGTTTCACACTGATTTTCACATATTGAATAATCCACTTCAGGTGATAGTTTTCTGTCAAAACACTACCGCACTTAATCTGCAGCAGTTTTCTCTCTGTTTACATTCAAAACAGACAGGCTCCCTTAAATCCTAACAAGATGGACACATTACTTAAACGGGGAGTGAAACCATTTTAACAGCATAAACTATGATCTGTAAAGTGTGCACCTATGTGGTCCAATCATAAAGCATTTTTGTTGATGTATGGCTTACTTAGTCATCACCTACAGTATGGGTTCCCATGTGGCTCACAAGTACAGTACTGTTAGGGAAAAAAACAGTAAGAGATTTTAAGAATGAAGTCTCATTACACAGCTTAAGCATCATCACGACACACAACAAAAACATTTTAGGATGTATACAGAGTTCAGTAAAATGAACCCTATTAAATCCCCAGATCTAAATGCTCTTGTTCTCCTCCATAAATCAACCAGAGGAATGGTAGACTGCATGGCACTATTTTAAATACATTATTCTGAGTCTGAAATTGCCTTCATTCTGGTCTTCAGATGTGGCATACATGATCAGTTGGATTGAGGGTTTGAGGGACTGTTCACCAGTGAAAGTGTCCTTGGATGTCTTTTCGGTAAGTTTACAACCATTGCTGAGGGGGACTATTTATAAAACAAGCTAATAGTCCTAAACTGTCCATCTAGAAGTAAAGGGCCTCAAGTTAAATCTGAAAGTCAGCATTTTGACCTCAGAGCTATTAGTTATATTTTAACTCCAATGTACTGGAATACAGAGCTCATATACTGCACTGTATGGTCTATACTTACATTGACTTACATTAAATATAAAAGAAGGTTGGTGATGCATGCAGGTTGTGTGGAAAGTTCTGCCTGTATCTGACATCAGCTGACCTTGAAAACAGCAGCTGGAGTGAAAGATTTATAATTTTAATGTTTACCAGCAGGGGGTGCTGAACCTATTTGGAGCTGCAGTGCATTTCAGGATCTCAGAGTGTGTGTGTGTGTGTGTTTGTGTGTGTGTGTGTGTGTTGGACAGCTCCTGGTGCTGAAACCTCAGCAGTCACACAAAAAAAGCCTTATTTCATTATTAAAACTGAAACTTTTCACAAAAACAAATTCAAATCAGGTGGTCAGAGACAGGGAGCACCACACAGTCCAGGCAAAGCAACAAATGAACACCTGTTCATAATACATAGGCCAAGTGAAGTTTCACTGACAAGGAAAGTGTCTGCTGCAAATAAACCGCGGCCCAGTTTTCGTTTTTATGTTCAGAATGAAGCAAACACAGAGGAAAATGTATATGAACCCAGATCACAATATTCCCTCACAGCTGAGAGCATCAGCACACACCAACATGTCATCAGGCATCAGGCAGAACTGCAGACATATATCTACAAGTTTGGAGGCTTCTGGAAGGATGCACTGAGGAATCGAAACAAACAGTAAAGAGATGAAGGAGAGCATAAGGAGGGAGGAAAAAGATGGATGAAGAAGAAGGAAAGGAAGAACAGGTCGATAAAGGAGAAGAGGAGAGAGTTAGACAAGAAGGGAGTGGAGGATGGTGGAAAAGGAAAAAGAGATATAGAATGCTATGGGAGGAAGAAAGGGAGATGGAAAAGAGCGGGATGGAAGAGAGATGGAGGACAAGAGATGAAATGGGAGGAAAATGGAAAAATGGACAAGAGGAGGAGAGATTTAGGGGAAGACGCATGAATGGGTGGAAGAAGAAAGAAATCTGGAGAAGGAGAGGACGGGAAGGATGGGTAGAAGAGACAAAGAGGAGCGGATGGGAGAAGAAGGGGAACAGATGGAGAAAACGACAGGAATGACTGGAGAAGAGGAGGAGGACAGGTGAGAGCTTACCTGGTTGGTAGAGAGCTGCGCATTCTGGTTGATGAGCAGCTGGACCAGGATGTGGAGCCCCGAGGTGAACAGGCCGGCCAGGATGGCCCACGTGAGCGGCAGCGGCAGCATGCTGTAGGTGGCGAACAGGGTGAACAAAACGTAACCGACCCCGTCACCCAGCAGCCCGTAGCCCAGCCCGGCCGCCAGGATCTGCGTGGCCATGGCCACCCAGGTGACCACGCCGCTGTACTGCAGGTAGCTGTGCGACGTGGTGTCCTTCCTCACCACCACTAAGGCACAAATGACGACTTCGATGCCCGTGAAGAAGCCCAGGAGCGTCCCTTTAATCGGGTCCATTGGGGAGGAGGCCAGGGTGAGGTGCAGCACCAGCAGGGTGAGCTTGGTCACCACGTCCAGGATGTTCATCACCACCACTGACTTGCGCCTTTGGCCCAGAAAGTAGCGCTGGTACAGCCGCTCCAGGTCGCGGGACTTGAAGGCGTTCCGCAGCGTGGGGAAGATGACGCCCCGGTACGTGTAGCCCCAGTTCAGGAAGAAGTCGGAGTTGCTCGGCGCACAGTCGATCTGCAAGAACCCCAGGTCGCTGCTGGCGCGCTCAGGGAACACCTTGGTCCCGCCGTTATTGTGTCGGTCTCCCACCGATGTCCGCCCAGCCGACTGCTTCCTCGCGCCCTGGCTCGGGTCGTAGGGCTCATCCGGTCCGATGCCCTTCACCCCTCCTCCGCCCTGCTCGTGGATAAACCGCTGCTCGGTGATGTGCCGCACCGCGTTCTGCCACAGCAGCCGTTTGGGTCGCGCGCTGCCACTGCTGTTGCTGTTGTTGCTGCTGCTCGGGGTCCTGTTGATAGTGTACAGCTCCTCGCTCGCGCTGGAGCACCGGACCTCGGACAGTTCCATCACTGCTGCTTGTTGCTGTTGTTGTTTTCTTTTTCTTCTCCTATTGGTTGTGTGGGTTTGTAGTAGTCTGTCCCTCCCTTCCCGGCTGCGAGTTAGCTCAGCGATTTTGGGGAGACGACGTCCTCTCGTGCGCATCGAACCGGGGGCGCGTGCTTCTTTCTCGGGCTGCGGCGAGCACGGCACTGGGTAAAGCGCGGTTGGAGGTCATCGTCACTCGATCGATTCCACTGAAGAAACAGCACATGAATCCGACTCGAGTTGAAAAGCATCTCTCGGGTTAATCGTGTACCATCATCATCACCATGCTCCGTGTCTCTGTGCTGAAGGCTAAATATCACCGGGCGGCGCGTCCAAGCAGCAGCTCGAGCCGCTGTGCGCCGACCGTCCGCACCATCAGGACGCGGGGATCCGTGAAAAACAAGGCGGAGGTTCGGGGTGCAAACGGTTTCAGGTAGCAGCTTTCGCAGACGGCAGAAAATCTGATCTTTAAAATGAACCCCCAAAAATGTCTCGTGCGTCGTTGGCACAGCTAGGACCGTTTAGCCTACTTTGCCATTGTTTTCCTATTTGCGCGTGCCGCTGGAGAGCAAAAAAGCACACATGTTCACGTTAATTCCTTTTTCTGTATCGTTCATAAAAGAGAAAAAGACAAATCCGTTGAGGTCAACAGCCGACAGGGAAGGCCAAAAAAGAAGAAATCCGTTAGTAGAATCCGGATCTTCAAACCGGAGTGGTCTGGAGCCAGAGGAAATTCAAATGTGTCAACTTGTTGTTGCTCAAGAGGCTCTGCAGACAGGATCAGTGTCGAGTGCGCGGGATCCGCAACGTTGATCAACCCTTCTTCTCGTGCCTCTCCACCAACATGAGGGGCTCGCGCTTGAATGCAACACCTGGCTGGCGGGGGGAGCGGTGCCAAGACACACGGCCGTCACAATCCTCCCCGGTTATATCTTTGAGGAGACCTGCGCGAGGAAAAGCGGCTCGTCTCCATGGAAAGTAAAATAAAATCCTGTACGTCCCCGTGCTGCGCGCGAGGATGAGAACGCAGCCTCCTTCCTCCTCCTCCTCCTCCTCCTCCAGTTCCTCCCCCTCCTCCGGTGAGCCGTCTCCCCACTTGAGTCCTCCCGGTTTTCCCCGTTCTTCGTCTCCTTCTTCTCCTCCTCAGTGGTTAAAAGGGTGTGCAGCAGCAGCAGCAGCAGCAGCCGCGTGGAGTAGATGTGCAGAGAGCGCGAGGCTGGTCAGCGAGAGGCACAGCGGAGCGAGCGAGTCAGCTGGCCTCCAGTTTGACGTCACAGTCACCTCTGCGTGTGTGTGTGTGTTTATGTGTGTGTGCGTGAGTGCGCGCGCGCTCCCCTCTCTCCTTGTCTTACCCGTCTTTCTCATCCCACGCTTCTCTCCTCCTTTATCCTTTTATCCTCCATTTCTATCATTTCCTTCCTCTCTGTCTCTTTCTTTCTCACCCTTCCCTCTCCACCTCCCTTCACCATCCCTCTGTCTCCTAATATCTTTCCCTTTCTTCAGATTCTTTGCCTTTTGTCTCGCCAGCTTTCTCCATTGCACTTTGCTCACTTCTTTTGGTCTTTTGCTCATTTTAATTCTACGAAACTGGAATTTACCTGGGTTTGATCAAAAACATGCTGCTAAAGCACACACACACAAGGTCTTTTTCCAGTGAGGGGAAATTTTAATGCATCAGAATAAAATGAAATTTTAAACAGTAGTGTGCTGATTTTGAGAAGAAAGAAGAATACATGGAATCAAAACACAACATATCTACTTCTGCTGCATTGATTTACTTATTTGGTAAAAATAAAACAGTCCACTGTGTGTCTGACAATGTTATTTAAGTGCAATGCTAAATCGGTGGAGTATTATTTTAAGGTTAGGGAAATATCGTAGTTATGGCAGATTTATGGTTAAGGAATAATCAGGCAACTAAAACATTGTTAATGCTAAAAAAAAAAGACTGAAGACTGAGATACACATAATAAAAATCAATTGATTGACAATTAATTGTATGTCTGGGACAGAAGGCAAACTCTGAAGAACTTGACAGGCCTGCACAGGGCCCTGAACTTGACCCCATCCAACACTTTGGGAAGAACTGGAATGTGGGCTGTAAGCCAGACCTGATCCCCCGACATCAGTGTTGGACCTCACTGATGCCCTGGAGTCTGAATGGGAGCAAATTCCTGCAGCCAGCTCCAACATCTGGTGGCAAGCCTGAAACCAGAGGAGTGGAGGCTGTGATAGCAGCAGATTAATGCCCATGCTGGTTTTGGACATGTTCAACATTAATACGCTAGGTGTCCTCATACTTTTGGCCAAGTATTGTAGTGTGTGAATAAGTAACAATACACAGTTCTTGGTAACAAGTGTGTATGAAATAATAATCAGCCTGATTCAAAAAAGAAAGCTTGATGTCAACAAAAATAAAAAGCAAAACACAACATTTAACAAGAATAAAGATACTCGCGATAAATTTAGCTGACACTTTTATCCAAAGTGACTTACAATTGCTATACACGTCTGAGGTCGCACACCTCTGGAGCAACTAGGGGTTAAGTGTCTTGCTCAGGGACACATTGGTAGATGGGTCACAGCATAGTATTACTGAACATAAAATAACTATTCAACAATTCATGGCAGAGACTGCCCCCCCTTACAAAAACAACAGCATCAGGCGTTTTTTTTTCAAACACTTAAATAAATACAATAATATTTCTCTGACAAGTGACCTCTTGTGGCCATGTGACTAATGAATTTTGTTTTTACAGAGTAAGCCTTAGAAAGTACAGTATATTAAATTTTTGTGCTCACTGAGCAATAATTTAGATAAATGAGATGAAATAACAATAATTTACATGTGAAACAGACACGTGCCAGAAGATTTAACTCTTTTAGCTCCCATTAAAGTAGTAGAAGTAATGTAGAGTGTAAAGCTGTGTTTGACATTGTGTCTAGGATGTGGTACTGACGGCATCAGGCAAACAGGCATTAGCTGGTGGAGCAGTAAAATGAGTCATCTTTAGACTCACTGTCTCGCCAAGCTCGAACACTCACTCAAACACACACACACATATATATAAATATTGGCTCATGTTGATAAAGCAGTTTAAGAAATTTGTTTTCTTGTGAAAATACTGATACATTTTGGTTTTACATTATCTGTCTTAGATAGATATCAGAAAATAGATTTCAGTTTCATCTCTGTGTGAGTACAGAGATAGGTTCAAGACATGTTAGTCTTAGCACAACGACTGGAAGCAGGGTAATGGAGCCTATCTTAATCAAAAGTGAAAAAAAAACAACATCTTCCAAAAATCCAAAAGCAGTTTTTATTTACATCTTATATCTTGTCAATTTAACGTGTAGAAATAGGCTAGATATAGTAAAAAGGAACATAATGTTTAAGGTACAAGATACAACATGGCCAACTGAATTTAAGTAGAAATGTTTCTTAATTTAACACTCATGACCAAATCATTTCAGTGGTGTAAAGGTGTATTGCCTTATTTTCATGTGTTTTTGGCTTGCTGGAGTGTTTTTGCAGTGTGTGGCTATTCCCTCACAGAAAGCTCATTTAGCTATAAAATGTACCAGCATTAGCTGGTTAGTTTTAAACTAGCTAGCAACATGTTTGGGTGCCAAGTCAAACATGCTGACATCTCACGTTTCTCTCATTCTTCTTGTCTGCGTATTACATTTCTAAAAAAAAGTCAAAAAGATTTAAATAAAGTTTTTTTGCTGTTGAAACACTCCAACAAATGTTGACATCTTCACCTCACTTTGCAAAATCTAGAGCAAATCCATGTCTTGTGTCACAGGGCTAGCTATCAAACCTCAGTTTGTAGCACAGGATATGTACAGTAGAACTAGAAAGTACTGAAAACTGCAATGTGTTTTATAACAGGATATTAGGGCCAAAACATCTTCTTTTGTGTGCCGGTCATTGATTACAGTCTGATTAGCAATCTCGGAACCCATCGGCTATCGCCTGACAATGATTTTAATGCAGAAACATTCACACAAGTAGGCTAAGTAACTAGGGTTTCCAAGATTGGTGTAAAGCTAAACTAGGGCTGGGCAATAAAACAATAATGCTAATTATGGCAATATAATTTCCCTCAATAACAATATTGAAGAGTGTGCAATAAATGTTTGATTTGTTGAAAGAAGATTTTATCATAATTGTTTTGAATGTTCTACCTCAGATTTGTAAGTGATCCACTGTTTGTCATGCTCTGACCATAAAGAATAGTTTAAACCACAATTAACCATCTGTTTTTCTCAACTTTCAAAAAGGTGCAAAAATCAGCCATTAAACTTAAAGGAAATAATGATTTGACAATTATTGTGATACATATATATACACACACACATATATATATATATACACACATACATACATACATACATACATACATACATACATACAGTATACATTATATATATATCGAATTATATCATTTATTTAAATTTCAGTTTGACTTTGAAATTTGAATGCTTTGCTTTTATAAAATAAAAAAAGAGCACTGCAGTCAAACATGTTTACATTTAATAAATTGGAGAAAAAAAAATTGTTTTTGGCACAATAAGTATTTTATGCACTAAAATAATATACCCCTAATTAGTTGGCTTTGTAGGCAGCCCCCTCTGACATTCACCTCACGTTCAGGCAGATCACACCTTGTTATGCGCCATCATTCTGGGCCCACAGTTCGACATTTGTTTTCAGGGCTTCAGCTGCTGCACTACTTCTGATTTGTAATGTTGGTAATCTTCAACTGAAGGTTCATTCTGCTGTCGCCCTCAGTGTAAGAGCATCAATTTACTAACTAAAATGTAAATAATATTCTCAGCAATATAACTTGATCATGAATCTAATCTGAGGCTCGCAGGCCCTCAAATGTTAATCACAAACAGTAAACTTCAAATTAATCATGAAAGGAGAGTCCCCAGAGATGTTTTTACAATCATCCTCCAAAGATCTCTACTCACGGTCTTGCCCAGGGCACTGGTTAAAGCAAGATTAATTCAGATTAATTCAGAGTGTCATCAAAATGCCCAAAATGTAGACAGAATATTGGAGAAGGAAATGCGCACAGTAGAGGCTCCATCATCTCCCGCTGTGTGCAAGTATCTTGTCCCACTTTTCCTTATCCGAGAGAAGCAGGGCCAAGGCCTGTCAGAGCTTGCTGGACTCGGATTAGATCGGGTAAAATTATTCCCTTCTAAACCTTGAGGAGCTGCAAGAGGTCCTTATGAGGAGAACCAACCCCCACTTTGACTCACACATGTCTCCAGGCTAGAAGAAAGTTGCCTCATTGCTATTCCGTCTATTTTTACCCTCCTTTGGTCTGCTGTGTCTCTACTGTAGCTTTTTTCTGCTGATTCCCAGGAAAAGAGAATTACTGAAATCCTTGAACCTCACTGAACGCAATCAAGAACCAGTAAGAATCTGCTTTTATTCAACATGCCCTTTATTTGTCCTTTAAGTAGGGTGTCATAACTGATAGGAACAAATTGTCAAATTGTAAAGCTTCAGTTCCCCCATTACTGGAGCTTCAGAAGGAAAGCTGCTCCAGAAAGACAAGGTGCAGCTTACAAATGAGGCTGCACATCAGGAAAACTCAGCAAGTACTAATCACGAAGTAAATGTTGTTGTATATAAGCAATATGTATTGCTGAATAATAAATAATCACTTGTCAAAATGAAATTAAATCTTCCACTTCATTTATCCAAAATTCAATTAAATCTGTTTACAAAATTAATTTCAAAGTTGTCTAACCAGTCTATTACTTTACTGAGCCCATTTTCATTCATCAGTTTGACGAAACTGAATAATCTTTATTCATGATATGCATATAAATGGTAACCTTGTTGACTTAACCAGGCAGTTTTTCCATATAAAGCAGAAAATCCTAACTTAAAGGTTCAGTGTGTAAGTTTTAGGGGCATCTAGCGGTGAGTGTTGCGAATTGCAACCATCGGTTCAGTCACCGCTCACCCCTCCCTTTCCAAGTGCATAGGAGAAGCTAAGGTAGCCGACATGCTCTGTCAGCTCTAGTGCAAAATAAAAAGTTTGGGTCTCCATTTGTACAAATTTCACTTCTCTTCTTACTTCAAAAAAACCAGACGACTTCTTCTTCTTCCTTCTTCTTCATATGTATTAAGTGTAATGATGAAACAAGTCTTCCAAACTAAACGATAAAATATGTTATTTGCCATTTCTTTCCAAAATAATCTGCATGAGCATCAACAGAACATTGT